TTTTAATAAAATCATACCCTTTATACGTGCTTTTTATAGTGTAAGAAATGCGTCATGGTTTCCTAGCAGCCGTGATCAATTAAGCTTAGCAAAGTAAACATGCACAGCATGCACAGAAAATTCTCTCCATATTATATTAAACTAATATAATAAAAACTAATATTTTATGATCATTTATAATCACACATTTATTTAGAAATGTAATATATTTTATTTAAACCGAATATAAACCATTAATAGGGATGTAAACAAAAACAATGGTCCCAACGCCTTTCCTTTCCTGTTCTATATATATCATAGCTATCATAACATGATCAATATGTGGCTCTTTTTGGATTCACAGAAGCTATATATATATATATATATATATATATATATATATATATATATATATAAACAATGGTCCCAACGCCTTTCCTTTCCTGTTATATATATATCATAGCTATCATAACATGATCAATATGTGGCTCTTTTTGGATTATCAGAAGCTATATATATATATATATATATATATAGCTTCTGAGAATCCAAAAAGAGCCACATATTGATCATGTTATGATAGCTGTTTTAACATTAAGTTATGATTGAACTGCCTCGTTACAGTTATTAAAATAGTTTGACAACAAGAATAAAAGGTTCATGGAACAACAACATTAACACATTGAAATGTCTCATTGGAAGGCCCTGGTAGTGTTTCTAAGTTACTAAGGCTGTAAGTCACTAAGATAATGACTGTAATTACTCACACACAAACAGACAGACAATTGATTTACATGTGGATGTAGTAATACAAAATGTAAATATAATGTACATACCACATACCCAACTTTTATGTAATTTGTCCTGCATATTCTGATTATTTGGCTAATGAATTGAAAGACGTGTTCAAAATATTAAAAGTAAATAATAATATATAGTCGATTAAAAAGTTAATTAAATAATTAAACACTAAATAATTATATAATTAAGTGTAAAATGTCCTTAGATAAACTAGTATTTTAGTTTAAGGAGAAAAAAAATGTTACTGTTAAGAATATTTGCCTCCTATAAAAACAGACAGAATTTATAATTCCTCTTAATAATTGGATTTAGAACTGAATGTGTAAGATACACTATATGTGGATTATATTAAAATGTATGATTTATGGGCTTAGGACAAATTTTCTTGTAACAAAAAAGTGTTTGTTTGTATTATTTATATATAGATAATAAATTATTTAAGTTGAACCAGTTGTAGTGGAGTGAAGTGTATTTGTATTTCATATAATATTGTTTAATTAATATTATATATATATAATTCAGAAGTGGCAGGTTCCATTACACTGTTAGATTACATATAAATAAATTCTTCATGTGAAATTCATGTTTCTCGAACATTAAAAACCCTTTTTAGAGCCACCATCATAAGGAGATTGAGGAAAAAGGGGCATGAGACTAGTAAAATTTTAAATTACCTTTCCATGGCTGTGACCAAGACCAAAAAATTATCTTTGTTTTTAATGTACAAGTGTTTTTCATGTAAAGTTCAACGTGACCTCTGCCCTCTGTGAATGTTCTCTCGTGGGTGCACTACAAGTCACATTACACTTGTTTTTTTTCACTGTTGCTTCACACTAATGAGCTTCGAGACACCAGGCAGAAATCTCCCAGGTACCTCATGAAACTCTCCGCAGTTTTTCCTGAGCAAACACAGAGCTATTAGTAGGATAATTAAGACATTTTGTAATTATCCTTTGGAAAAGACACCTTAGAGTTAGATGATGCAACATTTGTTAATTACTACACATCCTTAGCACACATACAGACAGACTTGTGAATGCACACATAACATGAAAGACTAAAGAAATCAACTATTTTGATGGATGACCAAAACCTAAATGAACTAAATGCACACATTTTACAAAAACACAAGCTTTTTAGCCAAATTGTAATTTCTGCAATATTACTCTAATGAATTTGGCAGCATAACATATGGTTTTACAGCCACAGAATACTGTGTAAAACTTTAAACTAATGCAATTAAAAACCAGAAAATCAATTTAAAATACATTGAACTAATTCTTCAGCAAAAAAAAAAAAAAAAAAACATTGTGAACTACACACTTTTAATGTGCAAATGTTTGTCATGTTTTTTGCAATTTCAAGTTAACTTTGACTGCTCTGTAAAAGCATAATTTATTTAAAACTTATTAAATATTATATTTTTGTCATACTCTACATCACTTTAGCAGATGTGCTCAGTAATTTTGAATGAATTAATTCATGTTAAGCAGCTACAGTAACGACATGGACAAAAGAAGGCAAGAAAAAGAAAAGATCTGGATAGTTATAAACGAGTAACAACTGAGTTGAAGTTTCAAGTTCAAAACATGAGCAAACACTAGTGACAATTAATCCAAGAGAGTAATCCACCAATACAGACAAAAGGTCAGGCCAGGCCAGTCACCAAACAATCATACAATACAAAAAACTGTCCAAGGTTAACCAAAAAAAAAAAAAACAAAAAAAAAAAAAAACTAGGCAAAACATAAAAAAACACTTAGAGAAGTTCATAATGCTGATACAAGAGTCATGAGTAGGCTCATAAGGAATCTGTGTTCGCGGAATTCCGCAGATTTTTTGCCCATAATTTACTTTGTTTTTTTACTTGTGTAAATGTTGTGTAAATTTGTATTTATTCCATCTTTAAATTAAATACAGTAATATTATTGACTAATGTGAAAATATTCATATGATTTAGTTACAATACAGTTTGTGAAGTCATATTTTCTGCCTTTTAGTAGATATGAGACTTGCTTTGTTTACCAAATAAAGTGTATCTAGATGGATTTGCATTGTAAACATTCAATAAAAGTTAAAAATGTATTACTTTTTATTTTATTTATTAAGGTTTTAGTTAAGATACTCCCAAAATAACTGCATAAATCCTCAAATTTTAAATACAATTCTGTGCAGAAATAGAAAAAATGTCTGCATATTCCGTCTGGCCCTAGTCATGAGTATGTGAATGAGTGGTTCTTAAATATTTCAGAAGATTGCAATGAAATGTGCAACAGCTGTCATTGAGTGATTTGATGAAATGCATAGTGGGAAATGTAGTCCAGGTGAATAGCAGTGGTTCAGGATGGATGAAGTGCCCTCTAGTGAGCCTTGTGACCATTTAATCATAACAAGAACATATCAATTTGATCAAAATTTGTGAGTTTTGGTAGAATGCAGCAAAGTATGAGTACATTGGCTGTTTAGAAATTCCAAGAACGCAGAGAACGGACTTGCGGTCTTATGAAGACCTGTCTTGCCAGGTCACCTCGAAAGAACGAATTTGAGAGAGCACAAGAACACAGAATGCGACCTCTGAGAAATGAGATGCTGCGTATTATATATTTCAATATAAACAACATGCACAAAAACCATACAAATATACTTAGCACAATACAAATAAAACAGATTTTTATATGAATTTCAGCAAATAAACACCCTTAATGTGCTTATGCCTCTATTAAGTTTTTCATGTTAATATTTACTTTTTTACAGTCTCATTTAGGGAAACTCCTGAGACTCCTTTGTTCAGTCGCAATGACTTCTGGAGCTTCTCGAGCGAGTACGGTACCCAAGTCTGCATCGGTGCATCCTCGATACCAAGAAGACATGCAGAAACTCACGCATCCTTCGTTCTTGAGTTTTGGAACTGAACTTTGATGGTTGATGATGACGTTACACAAGAACACAAGGACGCAAGATCACTGAAGAATGCATATTGAGAAACAGCAATTGTTTTGGTGTGCTTTCTCACAATAACAATTCGCAAAACAATCAATTGTCCAAATACCATGGCCATTTCACCTGATAGCCTGATTGACCACTGAAGCCAAGCAAGTTTAAGCCTCTGGGCCTGTATCGTAAAGCCAGATTAGCTGGATAGCCAGTTAGGTTTCGGCATAGTTTGCACCAATTCTGGGTTTGAGGTATCACGAAGGTAGCTCAGCACATCTCAGCCGCTCCAAAATACCATGGCAACAAAGAGTAAATAAAGTCAAGCTGCCTGCTTTCATGTTGCCTAACACCCAAGATTGATACAAACTACACTGAATCTAAAGCTAATTCAGCTTCATGGTACAGGCGCCTGGTCAGTCTCTAAAAGGGCGAACTGGGGAAACCTAAGTAGCAAAGGAAAACCTTGTGTTGTAAGACCAGCAAGAAGTTCTGACATTGCGATCCGTGTGGATCCTAATGACTCAGTGGAGTAAAAGCACTGTCTTGACACTCAAGGAGGACAGAAGAAACTAAATGCTTGAAGAACAGCTTTGGGTGTATACAGTATAAAGTAAGGGGCTCATTTTATAGCTAATATTATTAGACATGATTAAGTAACAGGACAGGTTTCTCTATATGAATTAGCAGTTGATGTAGCAGAATATGCTGCCAGTGCCACGATTGGCCAGCTGAAAAGTCTGGAGAGGCAAGGTATTACACTACATATAGTGGTATATATAACTCAGAATGTCACAGGTCACAGTCTTTTTACAGAACCATCTGTCTATAAACAAGAACAACTCTTTCTAGTATTTGTTTGTGCTGCTCACCTCCTTTCTTTTTGCATATCATACCTAAACAGCATTGTAGCATCATCTTCAAATCTTGCATATATGAAAAATGTAAGTTTAATGTAACGGAAATTTGTTTTTGGGAATGTGTGCGAGTTATACACTGTGCATTTGGAGAATATAGAACTTTTTACATGAATATGGGATTTCAATATAACTAAGAAGCATTTTGTTTTTTTGTGCATGCTTGTAAGAGTGTTTTACAATATAGAATGTATCGAATATTAGGCCTTTTTTAGTACAAAAATTTTTTTTAGTACTTTTGTTTTTTTAGTACTTTTTTCATAATATGAAAATGATCATAAAGTTGAATATGCCCTTGTAACATTTAATATAACTCAATTTGTGCTTTTCTAACCAGATCGTGTGAATGCTGGAGCAGCAAGCAAACTGACCATGAATCAAGATTTTGTTGGAAATGGGAATGTTTCCACTCCATCTTATTTTTACATCAGTGGTTTTTCTGGTATACCTCACATGAGATACTATTACATATTTCTCTTTTTCATCTACATTATTACTGTGCTTGGAAATTCTTGCCTCATGTCTGTTATCATTATGGATCGAAACCTTCACACCCCTAAATATATTGCAGTATTTAATTTATCACTGACAGACATTTGTGAAAGTACAGCTGTAATCCCTCAGCTACTGGACACTTTTTTGTTTGTTAATCAGCTGATGCCATATGGATTGTGTATGTCCAGCATGTTCTCTGTTTTGTCATTTCTTGCAATGCAGTCGTTAACTCTAACTGTTCTGTCTTTTGACAGATTAGTGGCGATTTCTTTACCATTAAGATATCATATGATTGTAACCCATAGGTTAATGTTTTTTATAATTGGCGCATTATGGACTCTAGCACTGTTGCTAACGATCATTGGAGCCATTTTCATGAGCAGACTTTCTTTTTGCAAAGTAATTGTCACTGTGAACAGTTTCTACTGTGATCATGGGCCGATATATCGCTCTGCCTGTAACAATAATTTCCCAAGCTCTGTGATAGCTAGTTTGTTTCCTGCAATCATTCTCGGGTTCCCAGCATTTTTTATCATCTTTTCATATACTTGCATAGCTGTGACACTGTTCAGAATCACAACTCCACAAGACCGTCAGAGAGCCACAAAGACATGCACTGCTCATTTAATATTAGTGGCTGTGTTTTATTTGCCTATCACTTTTACATATGCATTTTGGTCTTTTATTGACACTAATACAAGGATCATTAATCTCTCGCTGACCTCTGCCCTTCCTCCAATGCTTAACCCTATTATCTACACATTCATGACATAGGAGTTTATGGTGGCTGTAAAAAGACTTTTTAAAAGAAGAAACATATTCCCGTCCTGGAAATAAACATATTTCGCTTAAACAATTACGCTCAATGGTCAAATAACAACGGATGAATAAAATTAATAAGTTCAAGTTGCAAACCTTTATTCTTTCATATCAGATATTCACTATTTTTAAGATATTAGGAATCCAAGGTCAAATAACCCCAGGGTGGCATTTTTTTTTTTTTTTAAGTTGACAGGTATCAATAATCATTTAAAGGGTATCAGTGAGATGCATAATTTGCAAAAAGTGCAGGTATTTTTTGCACACATATCAAAAACATGAAGTTCAACAATGGTGAACATTAAATAAAAAGCATCATGACGAAATGAAAACAAAAGTCTATTACTCCCGGCATGCATAGTGACACATACATTATACATTTTTGCAATGACATTGTAGTAGCATAGCATACTACATAATGTTCAGAACTTATCTTTGTATCTGAATGTTTTCTTGAAACTGAACGGACACCGTTCTATGTGAAGCTGCTTTGACAACAATCTACTTTGTAAAAGTGCTATACAAATAAAGATGAATTGAACTGTCATCAAATTTGAGCAATGTCTTAATAATAATGCATGTAAAAATGTTTGTGTTATTGAGAAATTAGCTATCCAAAGATATTGTTTTGTCAATCTTTGAATTAGAATAGTTGCATTTGTTTAACATCTTAGCCTCATTATGATTGCTACCAGGGATGTTACGTTCAGGATTTTTGCAGCTACAGAATACAGAAGATACTGCAGATACAGAATACTGATTCCTTGTCATGGTGATCAACCGATACTGAGTACTAATTCTGATTCTTCAAGCTTTTTATATAACTTTGCCATTGCATAAGCACAATTACACTTTAAGTATAAGATCTCGCATTACCTAAGATAATAAAGTAAGAATGTTGCATACATGTAATGGTCAGAAGCAGCTTTACAAAATGAAAATAGATAAAACAGATTAAAAAATGGTGAGAAAAATTACTAATAATGCAATTTGGAAACATTGCTCATGTGTTGTAGTGCTGCTGATGCATAAGCACACACGAAATATGCGAGCGCAGAATTCTGCAGATTTTTTGCCCACCACTGATTCTGTTTATTTACTTGTGTAAATTTATGTTTATTCAGTTTTTAAATTATAGTAATATTTTTAAATAATATGGAAATATTCATATGATTTTTTGCAATACAGTTTGTAAAGTAATATTTTCTGTCTTTTAGTAGATCTATTATACGAAAGACTTGCTTTGTTTACCAAATACAGTGGATCTCATTGGATTTTCATTGTAAACAATAAATACAAGTTAAAAAGTTATTACTTTTTATTTAATATATTAAGATTTTAGTTATGATCATACTGAATCATTCTGCATAAATCAGCAAATTTTTAACACAATTCTGCGCAGAAATAGCAAAAAATGTCCGCAGATTCCGTCTGGCCCTACTTATGCATAACCCAGATGCATCCTCCTCTGCTTGTAAACAACCACTTGCGATTGTTTCATGAGATTGGCCAGATCAACGAGAACCAATTAAGTCATGAAATGTGATTATCGACTGATACCTATATTCAGCAGATTGATCAGAGCATCCCTAATTGCTACAGTATACAGTACATGACAATGAGAGAGAGGGAGACAATTTTTCGTCTGTATTTTATGATACAACCCTAGTCCATAATTGAGACATTTTTGTTTACACTGTTTAAACATCTTCTGAAAAAGTATCTCCTCTTGCAAAAGCCAATGAAGCCCAAAAACTACATACATAATTGAACTTATCATGTGCATGCATAAAACATGTTTAGTCTACAGGAATGTGTGAGTATATGACAACCAAAATAACTATGGCAGAATGCAGGACCACACGTACACAAGCATACAATTACATGGCCGACAACTTAATGTATTGTTATGAATCGGATGCTGACAACAGACGTGTGGATCTAAATACAGTTTATTAAAGGCAAGGTCAAACAGGCAATGGTCAAAAAGGGGAGCATAAATGTAATCCTATAAACGTGGTCAAAATACAGACGAGAGGTCAAACTGTATTTTTTTTTTATTACAAAAACATGTTAATTACAATTTAAGTGGTATATTGCATACTCTCAGACCTTTATGAGCAACTCTTACAAATAGCACACTAAAATGTACTAATTTAATAATTATTTATTAGCGTTGAAGCTCATCCTTAATCTAAACATAGGCTCTACTCTTAAAAGTATCCTATAATAGTATCCTTGCAAAATTACAACAGAAACCAATGGACATTCAAACAAAAAAACAAACAAAAAAAAATGAATAAATAAAACTGACATATCTAGATCTACAGTATATTAAAGTTCTGTATAGACACAAAATAACAACTGATTTTACTTTGAACTAGCAATCTGCAACGATTCAGTCCAGGTAGATGTCAATGAGTCAGTCAATTAGATAGAGTTTGTGTACATTTTTAATAAATTACACAATGTCTGTGAAGTACAGTAATATTTAAATTAAGTGAACCAAGGAGTCAATGTGATTCAATTCGATTGTTAAATTTTACTGTGATAAAGTAGTATACTTCAAAATAAAAATGCTTTTCCCATGTACTCACCCTTGTATCATTCCATTTCCAAAAACATAAGACTTTAATTTATCATTAAAACAAATAAATATATTTTTAATTAAATCTGAGAGATTTGTTTTTCCATTGAAAGTCGATTCCCACATATTGGCCCCCCACCCAACACAAAACGTTAGCAAAATAGTCCCGTTCATTTGTGGTCTGTTTGTGCTGCAATAATATTAGTTTGTGATTTTTTGTTTTTTTAAATAATAAAATAATATTTGTAGGTCATTCAGTGGTCAGGCATACCCCCCACATGCTTAAAATTCACCCAAAATTTTTTTTGGTGAAAGTCTTGTTGCTTTGTGCTGGTTTTTGCCGGTAAAAGTTCTGTTTGTGCTGTTTCCGCTATTAAAATATTACACGTTTAATTATGGGAGATGACATCAACAGCCCCCAACAAGCTCCAAATTTAACCAAAGTAGTTTGTTCGTTTTTGCCGGTGAAAGTTCCGTTTGTGCTGTTTCTGTTGTTAAAATATTACACATTGAATTATAGATTATTTAGTCATCAGCCCCCCAACAAGCCCCAAATGGATTCAAAATAGTCTTGTTCGGTTGTGCTTAGTTTGTGCATTTAAAAACTGAGTTAACTAATGCCGAGTTCAGACTGCATGATTTTCAAAGTAGTCGTGTCACAGATGTTTTCACACTGCATGACTATCTGGGCTAGCGTTTCGTGGTTGCTTTTACACTGCAAGATGGATCGGCGACAGGGACATTTACATTGCATGACTTTACTATGGGAAGAATCGCAGACAACTTCGTCCAAAATACGTCTCACAGCCAAAAACACGTAGTATATATTTTGTTATTAACTACATAATGAGAAAGAAGCCTTTAATGGGGTAGAACATGTACATGTTTGCTCACCTGAATTAGCCATTTCTCCTCAACGTTGATAATAAACTAATTTCTTTCTGTATGAAACGTCAAACAGACACGGTTGCTCCTGAGTCCTGTCAAACCTCCACTAGTTTTTCCTCCCTTTCGTGGGTCCAAATAAACCGAAAAAGAGCGCTTTTAACTTTTCCCCCAGCCTCCCGCTGGCCAGCAGCAGGTATACACACACGCACACACAAGTGAAAGCTGCTCTCTCATTGGCTGTAGGCGATGGCTGATGTTATTTTCAGTCAAAACTCAATTCACACTGCATGATTTGAATCGCCGACAGCTCCAGATATTTAGCACGCCAAATATCTCGCAGGCATCGGCGACTCATCGGCGATTATCTCAGATCGCGTCTTTGAAAGTTCATACTGTGTGATTTTCACTCACGTGCACGAGCAGCGATTTGCCTATGATTTCAGGCATTTGTCAGCGATTTCTCAAAACCTGTCGGCGAACCAAAATCGGGGCTAAAATCACGCAGTCTGAACTAGACATAACTCTTCAGAACATTCAATAAGGGATTATTTAAAAAAAAAAACATGTGGTACAGGTGAATTGAATTAGCTGAATTGGCCGTAGTGTATGTAAGTGTGTGGGTATTTCCCAGTGATGGGTTGCAGCTGGAAGGGCAACCGCTGCGTAAAAACATATGCAGGATGAGTTGGCAGTTCATTCCGCTGTGGCACCCCCAGATTAAAAAAGGGACTAAGCCGAAAAGAAAATGAATACATGAAATTAATCTTATTTAGTTTAATACTTTATTTAATCCAATTATTCTGAAGAGACAAAACCATTTCAGAGGAACCAGTTTAATTTCAGCTTTTATTTAGATAAAAGAATTTTGTAAATTTTAATACTTGACTGGAATGGCATGAGGGAGGGGAAAAAATTAAACCTTAAATATAACCCCATGTTAAATGTGGCCCAACACCAAAAATAAAATTGGATTTATATGGCTTTCATACATTTATTCTAGGTTTAGGGCTGGCTTCAATTACAGCATCACTGTAGACTGGTTAGTATCATGTGAGTTCTGAGCTGTGATTGGTCGACTGACAGGTCTGTACAGTCTGGCATTTGTGTCTGAGGATATATAGCTCAGAATGTGTCAGCTCAGGTATGTGTGTTTTTTTACAGGTATTTGTGCTTGTAGAAGCTTGAATAAACCATCACACTCTATTGTACTGCTCATCACCTGTAAAGTGCTCATCAATTCTGTAAGTATAACTTAGCCATTGTATTAACAGCACTTATTATCGTGGAATATGACATTCTAGTTTAGTATTTCTTGTTTTCCCATCACAAAATATGTATGTATGTATATAAGTATGTATGTATTCTATATGTATAGATTCTTAAAACAAGACACATTATCCAATTAATCATGACGTCTTGTTTTTCAGAAAAATCTTTTGAAAACTTTTGAATTTAATGGAATGTTTTATAAATAATGTATAGTACTGTATAATTGCTATAAAAAACATAAAACTTTTTTCTGAGGTTTTAATATCCATCTAGTATTTGTTGTTACATATAAATGTCCTAGCACACTGAATAACATACTGCTTTTCTATGCAGACAAGATAACCACAAGATCACAGAGTGAACATGAATGATTTCGCCGAAAACAGGAATATTTCTATTCCGTCTTACTTCTACATCAGTGGTTTTTCTGGTATACCTCACATGAGATACTATTACATATTCTTGTCTTTTGTTTACATTATTTCTTTCCTTGGAAACTCCTGTCTCATGTTTGTCATTATCATAGACCGTAATCTTCACACTGCTAAATATATTGCTGTCTTTAATTTATCACTGTCAGACATTTGCGAGAGTACAGCTGTAATCCCTCAGCTACTGGACACTTTTCTGTTTAGAAATCAGTTGATCCCGTATAGATTGTGTTTGTATAATATGTTTTCTGTCTTTGTATCTATTTCAACACAGTCACTAACTCTTGCTGTTCTGTCTTTTGACAGATTAGTAGCTATTTGCTTACCACTGAGATATCATATGATCGTGACCTTTAGATCGATGCTTGTAATAATTGGACTGACATGGGCACTGACATTGCTTATGGTAATGACTGCAACTATTTTTATAAGCAGACTTTCTTTCTGCAAAGTAATTGTCACTGTGAACAGTTTCTACTGTGATCATGGGCCGATATATCGCTCTGCCTGTAGCAATAATTTTCCAAGCTCTGTCATAGGCAGTTTGTACCCAATAGTGATTCTTGGGTTGCCAGTGTTTTTCATCATCTTTTCATATACTTGCATAGCTGTGACACTGTTCAGAGTCACAACTCCACAAGACCGTCAGAGAGCCACAAAGACATGCACTGCTCATTTAATATTAGTGGCTGTATTTTACCTTCCCATCACTATTACATATTCTCTGGCATCCATTATAAACACCAACACAAGGATCATTAATCTCTCTCTGACCTCTGCCCTGCCTCCAATGCTTAACCCTATCATCTACACGTTCAAAACAGAGGAGTTCATGGTGTCTGTGAAAAAGCTTCTGAAACGGAAAATCATATTCCCATATCTAAAATAAATGTTGACCCTCATTTTGATGACATTACTATATACAATGCTATTGTTTTTATGTTTTGAATACTGTATGCTCAAATGTTTTGCATTTTTAAATACAACTGAATATCATAGGTTCAATAAAAAAAAGACTACAGGTATCTCACAATATTTTTGTAAGACTATTATTTACTTTAAGTAATGAAGTTTGCCCTGCATGCTCATGGTTTTGAAAACTATTTTGGTGCATTAATCTTGTCAATAATATTATTCAGAAGGTCATTATTCGCACTCATTAAATAATTGCTTTGTATATATATTTTTTCAATGCCTTCCTCAGTGTGTGCATTATATACTGTAAAATATCTGTAAATTGAGTTTTCTATTTTGTCATTCTTGTTTTTGTTTTTTTTTTCTCATTTTTTCCTTCCAACAGCTTTTAACCTTGAAAAGTTTGAAAAAGTGACTTTTATAAACATTTTTAATAGTTTGCAGTGATATATCGTCTGGGTTGGTGTTGTATATGATGCTGCAAAAATCATGGTAATATGCTGCCAGTACATTTTCTGTTATTTAGTTCTTTATATATTATTTCTTAAACAATATCTTGTCTCAAACTACTAAAACGTAAGAAGTCACTTTGTTAAACAGCAGAGTTAAATATTCAACATCAAAAGTCGACAGAGCAGAGCACAACATCTCAATGCTACTCACAACTGTAAATACATGCAAAACACTAAATTCGGAAATTATGAATTAACAGATATATTTTTACAGTGTTTAGACAGAACTTACATTATTATACAATAAATATTAAACAAATCATGGTAAAGCAATCTCAACATTCCCTTAGTGTTTGTTTTTTACTCAAAATGTACCCCTCATTTTCATGTAATTTAGGGATGAAATAAAAGAGACTGGGGCCAAAGATGTACTGAGGCAAAATCACGATGTGATTTAAATAAACAATGAATGCACTTACATTCAGGGCTAGTAGATTTCCAACATTACTAGCCACTTGCCATTTTCACTAGCCACAATTTGTTGTTTGGAAAATATATTTTATATAAATAAATGTGACTTTGACATGCTAAAATGACTTGATTTAGATGTTGTGTTGTCCCAGATCAGCAGTTACTACACACAAATGGTTGGTTAATCTTTATTCTAATATTAATCTAATTAATATTAATCTAATATTAAAAAATATTATTGTAAGGGATGATAATTAAACTACATTAACAAAAATAACTGTAAGCAAACAAAAGCAAGTAAAAACATACTACGAGTGATAATGAAAGGATGATCACGTGCCTGAGAATAATTAAAACAAAAGCAGTGACTGCTGCTGTTGCTTACAAACATATATATTTTTCAATCTTGCGCTCTTAAAAGCAGCAGGACTGTGGGTACACGAGCATCGTTTTTTGTCTAGTCTTTTTCAAATAGAACCGATAGCAAGTGAACAGAAAAAAAGCGCAAGTAAACGGGAGCAAAACATCACATTACCTGTACGAACACAGTTATTGTTGTCAGTCGTGCTGTTTCTCGATTCTAAGATCACAATTGCAAGTATATTGGGCCATCCTTATTGTCGAAACCTGCTTTAAGTAAACTACAATGTAACAATTATTTCCAACCTTTCCAAAGTGGCAAAGGAGCGGCTGTCTTACCCGCCAAAGTTGAAATCTACCCGCATTTGGCGGGTGTTAATGTAAAGCCCTGCTTACATTTAACCAGAATTTGTTCACAATATTAACCAAACACATAACATAACATAAAATGTATTCATTCATTTTTTCGGCTTAGTCCCTTTAATAATAAGGGGTTGCCACAGCGGAATGAACCGCCAACTTATCCAGCATATGTTTTACACAGCGGATGCCCTTCCAGCGGCAACCCATCACTAGAAAACACCCATACACACTCATTCACACATATACAACAGGCCAATTTAGCTTACCCAATTCACCTCAAGCGCATGTCATTGGACAGTGGAGGAAACTGTAGCACCCGAAGGAAACCCATGCCAACACTGGGAGAACATGCAAACTCCACACAATATTACTTTTTTATAAAAGGAAAAAGTTGTAAACAGAACAATCTAATCATTTTGTTATTATTTAAAACAACTTTTTATGGCCAGGTACATGACATTTATTTATTTTTAGATTTTTACAATGTAGCTTTTAAAGATGTTTTACATAATACTTTATAGGTTATTTATGAAAGTCTGTAGGTTTCAGATTTTTATATTAAGGACTTTGAGTCCTTACAAAGTAGTTTGTTTAGTTAGTCTGACTAATAAAATCAAAATTGTTCACGTCTTTAAACTACCAACGACGTGACATGATTGTCATCAGGTATGGTTACACACTCAAAATTGTTCCTCCGCTTTTGGCCCATGCAAGTTTGGCTTCCAGCAATTGATAGAAGTCCACAAGTGCCCCCTTAAAATCCGTGAGAGGAAATAATACATCACATATCTAATTTATTTAATGCCACTCAATATGGACGATGTGGACGTTGTTTGGGATGTTGATTAAATGTACTGCTGATCGAGTATTTTAAACTTATTTATTTGATGAATTTTAACTTCTGGTTTCATTGACATTTTAAAAACTGCTGGAAACCATTTTTGAAGCCACTGACAGCTGTAGAATAAAACTCAATGGTTAATAACAGTCCTCAAACAGACTTTGTTCAAAGTTTGCCCTGGTTGGTTCAACACTTGGTTCAAACCAATCAGCGTGCTCTATTGTGCAACTTTATTAATATGCATGATAGCTTTCAAGACCAGTTACAGTGTTCAAATGGCAGAAAGATGCCATGTTGTGTTGCCAAAACAAGCTTTTAAGTTTAAAGTTTTGTTTTCATTTTCTCTTTATGAGAGCACAGCTTGACTCACGTGTGGATTACAGTGCATGCGACACTCGACAACAATACGTGTCTAAGGAACATTTTTTTTTACCGGCGAGCTTTTCTCATCTGGAAATGGTGAGATCCGGATACACAGCAAAATATGGGGACCCAAAACAACTCTATGGGTGTTAATTTCAACACTTTGAAAGTGTCTCATGGGGTCCACTCAAAACAGAGTTAAATCAACACTTTCAAAAGGGTTGGCACATTGACACCGAAGTAAGGGTTAATTTTAACTCTGGGCAGAGTTAAAAAATGTAACTATATTTAACACTGCCTGGTGTAATATATTGTTATTTTATTCAACTCTCTTGAGTGTAAATATGGTAAAAAGGTAAAATAGACTGTAAATTACAAAAGAAAAAACATTTTATTTGAAAACATTCACAACTTCAACAATTCATTCAGTTTTTAAAATGCAACAATGTCAAATATGCTTTAAATGTTTTATTAGTACAGACAGTATCAACAAAATATGTGACCAGTGCTCAAAAAGGCTGTTTCAGTCCTTTGGTCCAAACTTGATGTGTTATCAGAGCAATTTGAAAGTTCAATATAGCGTCCCTCATAGTTTACTTCTGAACTCATAGTTTTCTTCTGAAATTACATTTTAAACAACTTGGCGTGCAAATCTTTCACTTCTGGTGTTTCCTTGTTCCTCCATATCAAACACAGCAGTTTAAATGAAGGTATAAATGCTGTAAACTTGTGTGAAAACAAACTGGAGCTAGGAAATCTCATCAAGCATGTCCTGTGAATGAAGTGCTTCCCAGCCACAGGATGACCTTTTTATCCATGACGATGTAGCAGCTGCTGATCGCTCGTCTGGTGGTTCCTGATACACGGATATAGGGTGATGCTCATCTAAGAACTCTTCAAGACTCCAGCATGACTAAGAAAAATGTTTGAAAACAAATTGCAATCAAATTCTATGATATATTTAAAAGAACATTTAAAGTAAATAAAACATTCAAGAAATCTAACCTCACCTTTTGAAAATCTTCATGATGATCCACAACTTGACTCTCCCAGCTGGTTGAGGTGACAGGATATGGAAAAGTAGAAAAAAACACATAAATCACTGTTGGAATCTCCAAAAACAATTAGGTTAACCACTATGACTAGAACTGGAAAAACAGGCAGCTGTCCAGAATCCTGAATTTAACACAACACTTGGAGCAAAATTTAGAGGAGCTTAAAATCTTTTATATCATTTAGTGATGCTGACTTCCCCAAAATATTGGCCACAGTGTAAAAAATATTCATAAACTTCATAAACAACAGTTTTCTGTAAGCGTGTGCGTGCGTGCGTGCGTGCATGTTTCTTTACCAGATTCAACTTGTTAGGCCCTTTCAGGTCCAGTATTGACGCCACCTTTACTGGAGTCTAGCAGATGTTTCAGGTCCAAATATAATCTAAAATATTAGGATAAGCAGAAGAGGAAAAGTGCAAAGTAAAGAGCAAAACATTATTTAAGTAACAGTTCACCCACAATACAAAACTTATCACCTTCATGCCATTTGTTATTCTCTAATGCTCTAATACCCTCTCAGCTTATTGTGAAACAAATACAGAACTTTATCAAACATACCTTCATTATTATCACCACATATGACCAAGAAGGTGTGCTTGGTCATTTCACCAACTCTGGAAATACACCATCCGTCTCTAATCAGCCACCGTCACAGGGTCTTGTGTTATTGTATAGAGAACTGTGGCTGTTAAAAAAACAACAAAAAATTAGTATCTAACACATATGCATAACCTTCAGATAAAAAGAAGAGATGAACATCACAAAGTATGCCTCACACTTTTTCAGATATCTTTTGATTCAGATGTTGATTATTGATAATAAATCTACAAATCAAAACTGTATCATCATTAGGCTGCTCAAATATGAATCAGTTGATTAATTTTACAGACAGGTGGCTGCTTACAACGCACTAAATTGTCTTTAATAAAAAGGAAATGTTGTGTACAGTGCATGCTAAGTTTAGCCTATAGATTTAAGCACAATATCATGCGGGAGAAAAAAGCTTGACTAAGATGTTCCTGACTACATAAATAGCCTAACTTACTAACGTCAGACACCCCGAGTTGGG